CTGGCGTCGGCTCTTATCTGAGAGATTTTATCTGCGAAAAATATCACTGCAGGCCCTTGTCAGGTTAAGTAACTGGACCTGGGCAGGAGGTACCCGCATCAGCTCCCCCACCACCCTAAACAGCTCTGCTGGACGGGACTCTGCAGACGCAATACGTGCAGAACACAATGATCTGTGCTGCACGTATTGCCTCTTGATAGGACCAAAGTTCCTATGACAAGTCTGGTCAGATAAGAGTTGAGTTTTCTGCCAGGTGTGCTTTAGTCATTGTCCAACTCGCTTCATTTTTCTAAGCTCTGCTGTATACCATTGCTTCCGATTAGAAGTGGGTTGGAAAGGACGCTTGGGAGCGATTGTGTCAATAGCCTTGGTAAGATCCGTGTTCCAAGTATTAACCAAAGCTTCAACAGGATCACTGGCGTTACTAACCATTAAACCCACCAAGGCTTTCTGGAATCAAATTGGTTCCATTAGCCTTTGAGGGCGGACCATTCTAATAGGTCCACCACCCCCGGTGAGGTCAGTAGAGGCTCTTGGTTCAGTCTTGACCAGGAAATGATCCATCCATGACAATGCAGTGGTTTTAACAACCTCTGCCCATGGATATTCCTGTTCTGTACTGAAGACCACATCAAGGGTATGACCTGCACAATGTGTGGGCCCAATGACCAATTGGGATAGTGCCCTGTTTGTCATGGTTTCCATGAACTCCCGAGTCATACCTGTCAGATTTTTCAAGCTGGTCTCGAGTGGGATGTTGAAGTCACCCAGGACTAAAAGTCTGGGTGACTCCAACAGCAACTCCAAGACCAGCTGTATCCACTCGGTCAGGGAGTCTGCTAGACAACGGGGTGGTTGGTATACTAGCAGAATCCCTAAACTATCCCTGGTCCTCAGGCTAAGGTACATACACTCAAAGTGGACTGTGTTCCAGACAGGTATCCTGGTCAAAGTCAAATTGTTCTTATAAACCAGAGCCACTCCCCCCCCCCAGGCCAAACAGGAAAGGAGGAGGAACTGCATGATATGTCAGGGATGTTTATACCTATGAAGAGATCCAGGACTTAAATCCTGGATATCAGGTTGCGATCATCTGGATAAAAATTAAAGGGGAAGGAAACAACAGGGATGTTATTGTGGGAGTCTACTAGAGACCCCCAGGTCAGACTGAGGAATTGGATGACCACACACTCAGAAAAGAGAGATGGGTGACTTCAACTATCCTGATATTTTCTGGAAGTCAAACTCAGCCAAAGCCTCAAGATCTAGCAAATTCCTCACTTGCCTTGAAGACAATTTCTTTGTCCAAAAGGTGGAAGAGGCAACAAAGGTATCAACTATTTTAGATCTGATCCTTACCAACAGGGATGATCTGGTCAATGGGGTGCAAGTGGTGGGATCCTTAGGTGGGAGTTTCTCAAAAGGTATATACTGTTCTCCTGGAGTTTCTTATACAGTGGAAAGAAGAGGCTAGACACTCATTCTAGACTTAGGAGAGCTGATTTCAATAAACTTAGGGAAACACTGGGAAAGATCCCATCGTTAGGAATACTAAAGGAGAAGGGAGTACAGAATGGATGGGAGTTTCTCAAAAGGCAGATACTGAAGGCACAATCTCAAACTGTTCCAATGAGAAGAAAAAATGGGAGGTGTCTCAAGAAACAGGGTTGGATGACAAAATAACTTTCAACTGAATGAAGTTTTAAATGGGAAATGTATAAGAAATGGGAAATGAGCAAAAACACTAAAGAGGAATTCAAATAAATAGCTAGCATGTGTAAGGGTAAAGTCAGGAAAGCTAAAGTGCAGAATGAGCTCAGGCTT